TCTCTCTTTGCTTAGAGGACCCCTTTCAATATTTCTTGTAGGGCTGGTTTCGTGTTTGCAATTTCCTTTAGTTTTTGTTTGTCCTGGAAGCTTTTTATCTCCTTCTATTTTCAGTGACAGCCTAGCTGGATATAGTATTCTTGGCTGCATATTTTTCTCATTTAGTGCTCTGAATCTATCATGCTAGTCCTTTCCGGCCTGCCAGGTCTCTGTGAATAGGTCTGTTGTCAATCTATTATTTCTACCATTGTAGGTTACAGATCTCTTATGCCGAGCTGCTCTCTCCTGTCCACTTTTTATTAGACCTTTTTCCTTCCTCTAATTTGATTCTGGCAGGAGCTTATCAATCCTTTAACCAACCTTGAAGTTAGTTAGCATTCCAGTCCTTCTTTCACTTCTATTTGTGTTTGTGAGTCCTTCAGAACTCTTGGCGTATCTACAGCTCATGTGCTAGGTTGGAGAGAACCATGAAGTTTTCCAGTTTCTACACAAGTTTTCTGTTGAATAACTACATACCCTGTATTGATATAGACTGTAATGGTTCACTAACCAGTTTCAGGTCACTTATCTCATTAAGTCTCCTATTTCTGTCATTGTCATTTTACAGAGAGTTAACCTAGGGTGTTGGTAAGCATGCAGTGTGGCCAAGAAAACCAGATTTCCGATTAATTATCTGTCGTTCTTTCTAGTACATTGTAATGTACTGTTAATCCGAACCTTATTTCACCTACAAGAAGAGATTGGGAAGGGAGAAGATATTCTCATCCAATGTACAAGTTCGTTTGCTCCTTCCTTGTCTGGCCTCCTCAAGATAATTTTCCTTTTTCCTAGCTGTGCCAAAATGAATTTGTCTTCAACTCTCTATTAATATACTAACACTTCCATCTTCTCTGTGAGCTCCGCGTCTGTTGAGCTCTCTGTTTACTGTGCCAGTGTGGGTAGATTATTAAATGGTAATTATTATTTTCCTGAATTTTTAATCCCAATGAAGTGATTACCAAGACTTTTGCTGTGGGGGTTAGGAAATTTAGGAAATTCCTTCTTGAATTTATGTGAATTTAATGAATTTATTGTGAGAAATTTTAACTGGCTAAAAGTCTTTCAGTGGGCCTATATTTTAGGTTGAGTGGCAGTGAAATATACAAGGCCTATAACAGATTTGGAGCTAGAGGAGAGGGGAAAAATGTAGAAAAACTCAAATATCTAGGAGCTGCTTAAATAAATAAATACATGGGCATATTATCACACACTGACATGTGTTGTTTCCTAACCCTGACTTGCTAGAGGTATTTTATTCTAGCCTTTGAAAATTCAGTTTCTTTACATGATTTCTTATACTCAGCTGTCTATAATCAAGACTTGTTGTGTCTTTAAAATTTCCCCTTGCAATTTAATATTTTATTGCTCAGGTAGCTGTCAAAGTTTGACACTGTGTTAGCTTAGGGAGAGGAAAGGCGTCCTCTTCACGGAGTGTATATGAAAATCCCACTGATTTGTGCCCCGTGTGATTCCACAGGTGTGCACGTGGCTGCCCATCTGGTGAATGCCCTCAACTTCTCAGTGAACTACAGTGAGGATTTTGCTGAACTGAATGCAGCAAGATACCGAGATGAGGTGGGTGGTCTTTGTCTTCTCATTCTTTCACTTTTCGTGAGCTAATGAAGGTCTGTGGTTTTCATGGAAAATTTGTACCTTGCTGCTCCTTTTGAGTGCTTTTAAGATGCAGTTGTCAAGTTGAGTTTTGTTCCTTTTCAATAGAAAATATAGGTAATTACTGTTTCACAGTCTCTCCTGCTGAAAATGGGAGTTCGAGAGTGTCTCCTTTTTATATTCTGCAGCGTTCGGATGGCAGCCACTCAGGCCGGCCTTCTGCCTCCCAGCAGTATTGCCTGGTTCCCATCCAGTGGAGACTGTCCAGTGTCTTTACAGGGCACAAGTTTTTTTTAATAAGTCAGATACTGCACTTGGGGGCGCAGGAAGGGCAGAAAAGCAGATTGACTCTTTAAGGATCCTGGATCATCTGTTTATTTGACTTAAAAATATTACTGAGTTTTAATGGTTACTCTGCTTTGTTTTAATCCTTGAAATAGGTGACCTTGAGTTCAGTTCTGTAGCAGGCAGCGTCTGACTTAGGGCTGCTTTTCTCCATGGGAAGCCACCCATGAGATGAAATTGTATGTGCAGGGTGCTGGGTGAGAGCACGATGAACACATATACAGCCCTGATTAGCTCTCTGTCGCTCAGGACTTCATCTTGTCCTCAGATCTCCTTCCCGGAACAAAACAAAGGGAAAACTAACAATGAACACAGAAACAAATCACGAAACCAAAATAGCAAGCAGTCTTTGATAAGTCCTTTGATGAGACGCTAGTATCCTTAAAAACGCTGATATGTTTAAACTGTTCTGGGTTGGGGTCAGGCATTGATATTTCTTGAAAGTTCACCAGCTAATTGGGGGTGAGCACCCAGCATTAAGAGCCACTGACAGAGCCAGCTCCTTCGCATGCCACTGGAAGCTCTTCATATGTAATGATTCCAGAACCCAGAACCAGGTCGGTCTCCATGTCTTTCTCCTGCTGCCTCCCCCCCCATTTCTCTCTCCCCCTCAGCCCACAGCACATGGGCTTCCTTGCTTCCTACATCTGCCATGCACGTTCCTCTTTATCTTTCCTTCTTTGCTTCTCTCTTTTGTTTTTGTCATCTTGGGTCTTTAAGAACTAAAATGGTTCTCTCATTTTAATGTTGTATACTTGGAATATTGTAAAATATTCCAAAATTTTAATCATTTTAGGTTTTTAGTTATTTCCTTTCATTTTATGAAGGATGTGTGCCCCAAATAAAATATTTTAAAACCCTCAAGAAGTTTAAAAGTGAAACCTTCTCTTCCAAAAGTAGCCGCAGTTAATAACTTTCTGTTCTCTTATATTTTGAGAGGCATTTTATGAAACCTGTTCCTCAGCAATTTTCTTGTTTCCATAGTTACATGGACTGTAGCTTGCTGTATCAGAAAGTATAGATCTATCATTCTCTTAATATTAATGTGCAATAGTTTATTTTTAGCCCTTTCCTTATTCACAAATGTTTAGATTGTTTTTGAGTTTCTGTTATGAACCACACTCCAATAAATTAATTTTTTATATGCTTCCACTAGGCAGATTCCTAGAAGTAGAATTTAGTTTCAAAGGTATGTACGTTTTTAGTTTTGATGGATGTTGCCAAGTTGCCTTCCAAAAAGGCTTCACTGGTTGACCCACTTCTACCAAGTTTGTCAGAATGCTTATATCTGCCCCTCAGTTGTTTTTGTTTTTCTTTAATTTTTGCCAATCTGACAGATGAAAAATGGTAACTCATTGTTTTAATTTGTATTTCCCCTTTCTTTGTTTCCTTCCTTCCTTCTTTCTTTTTTCCTCCCTCTCTTCTTTATTTTAATAAATATTTTTGAGCCCCTCGTAGGCGTCAGTGTGCTAGAGGAGGATGAAAATACACACACACACACACTGCATGCATAAACACATAGTCTTCTGTGACTTGTCTTTGAGAAAGATGCACCCTGTTGTCCTGTGTTTTGTACTCTCTGTCTTCTCCAGATTTATAGTGACCCACCCTCTAGCTCCTGGGTGGCACGTTCTTGATGACCTAGCCGAATCTGCCTCATCCTGTCATCTGCAAAACTCTCTCTTACCCTCACATTCCATCTCCATTCCCTGGCAGTAGGAATTGTTCCATCTTCTGAGTTCCCACAGCTATTTGTTCATATTTCTGGTATTACCACTTTGTTCAGCTGGTCTTGTATTTTCACTGGTTGTTTATATATTAGGTTCCTCTAGGTCATCCTTGAGCTGCGTTCCTAATGGCCGAGGTAGAAGTCATCTGGCCCCAGTGGGATGAAGAGCTATTGCTGGGCAAGTGGCCCTTATTCAAGGCTTCTGAAATTATTTCATATGAATGGCTTCCCACTTTGGATATAGGGTGGCCTGACTCCAAAGTCAATGGAGGCCTAAGAAAGAATTTCCAAAGTTGTGCAATATTGAGAACCATTAGGATGAAAAACAAATCCACAAATCTCCTGGGGATTGACCTCAGTTTTCCAGAAGATAGAAAGGGAGTTGCCTAAGGTCCATTTCACCACGAGAGATGTAGTGTAAAGGACAGATTACACCAACAATATTACTTTTTATAATTCTGAGTAATAAGAACCTGTCCTTTTTATTTGAGTATCATCACTACTTTGCATGGTATTTGAAACATTATAAGTATTCAATTAGTATTCTTTGCATTGAATTTACAGCAACAACCCTCCCTACATATTTTATCACTTTTGATTCTGTCTCCACATCTTATAGGTGCAGTTTGGCAGTTATGGTGGACAAAGTATATATTAATATTTCCACATTATAGTCAAAGATATTGAGTCTCAATTGGTCAAAGAGTGGGCTTCAGGCCACTACTACTAGCTTGTAATTAGCCATTAGGATGAAAATCTACATTTTCTGAATCTTTATCCAGTGCTTTTTCTTTCTCAGAAGGACAGTCTTCTTTGTGTTAGATTTTTTTAAAAGATTTAATTTTTTATTTGAGAGAGAGAGAGAGAGTGTATGTGTGTGTGCATAAGTAGGGGGGAGGACAGAAGGAGAGAGAGAAGCAGACTCCCTGCTGATCATGGAACCCAACACGGGACTGGACGTGGAGGGCTCAATCCCAGGACCCTGAGATCATGACCTGAGCTGAAGGCAGATGCTTAAACAGATGAGCCACCCGGGCACCCCTGGATAGATATTTTTAATTTTTCAACTGAGAAACTGAATTAGGGAAGGTCTGAAACATGCTAGTGAGTGACAGAGGCAGGACTCCAGCCCAAATATCCTGGTTCCAGAACATGTGTTGCATGAAAACATTATGAAACTTGATTGAATTTCTCATTTCCACTGAGAGAATAGTATCGTAAATGCCTAATGGATCATAGCCAGCAGATTCCTTGTAGAATTTTACATTATCAATGTTTTGTTTTTCAGTCAATTTTTTTTTTCCCTTTTTCTCAGGATCCTAGAAAACTTCTCTTCACAACTGGTAAGTTGTTATTCATTGCTCTTTCTGAAAATTCAGGGAAATCTTTGAGAATAAGCATCATCAAACTACACAGCAATTAAATATATGTTAAAGTAGAACATGGAAAATTTGCAACCAGAACAAATGTTACCAAACATAAGTTGCAACGAAAACAGAGGGGCAAGGCAAACAGTGGGGTTGGAATGAATGAAGAGTAAAAGTAACTAAATACATTTGCCTTCCATATGTTCTTCTAGTGACAACAGTGTGATGCCATATGGTTATTGAGGACCTGCTTTGTGCCCCTGGCTGTGGCAAGTAGTATTGGAGATAATACACATGAAATAGGCACCTACCCTCAAGGTGTTGAAAAGAAACACCAAGCACTCTGATTATCGATGTAGTTCTTATAACTCAGTAATTTAGTAGGACATTTGGTGCTCTTAAAGCCTATATAAAAAGAGGAGGAACAAACAGTCGTTAAAATCAGTTATTTTTCTTGAAAGGTGTTTCCTTTTTCATCTGTAATTTACTTTTCCTTCTCAAGCATACTGTCCATGAAATCTCAGTCTAGACTATTCATTTGTTAAAGCACGTGTAAACATCTCAAAATTTTGTCCTGACATATAATTCTTACTAAAATTCTTCTTTTTCTCAACCGTACAATTATAAGGATGAAAGCAGAAAACTGCACTTGGGGGATTTTTAGCACATTATTTCAGGGATAAGGATGATTAGGTCATTGAGATGGTCTGTCATAAAGGCTTGGCTATCATAAACACCCTATTAAGGATCAAGATTGCATATAAGACTGAGGCATGGCTCTGTCAAATGCATTGTTTTTCTTTTCAATCAGTTTTAAGATGAAAATAGCGATAATTCTGGTGTTTTCCCCTTCCCTATCACAACTATGTATTTAGATTTATAAAATATGTTTTTTTTTTTCCTGTTTATGTATGCATGATGTTTGCCACTTATGAAGTATTTCACAGTTTTCTCTTTAGGAACACAATTTTAGTTTTGCTTACAACTTTGCTCATTGAAATCATATTTTTTATGTAAGCCTTAAGAATTGGATGAGGAATAGGAAGGAGAAAAAACAGAAAAACAAAACCTTATGTATGAATCAGTGTATGTTTTGGTTCATAAATTCATTGTTTTGATATTATTTTCTACCTCACCAAGTATAGGTGAAACATTGGGACGTGTAAAATGTTTGAAAAAGTTTAGTTTTCAAACATATAAAAAGATTTCTTATATGACCAAGATATGAACCTTAGTATAATCAATACCTGTATAGAAGCAGGTGATCTCTCCATATAGTATGAAACCCCACCATTCTGTCTTGTTTCCCAGAAGTTCCCATGAGTGGTGTTGGACTAACTAGAAATAATATTTAAAAACATAAATTTCCTGGCTCCATCCTAGAGAGTCTCTGTTGTGTGACCCGATGGTATGTTTCATTAACCTTCCCATGTACCTCAGGAGCCTCCGTTTCACCCGTACTAGGCATCTCATCATACTCTTGTAATTCCCTTCTCGCAACACCTAAATTTTGTCTACTCTTACCCGATTCTCTCTCTCTCTCTTTTTAACCCAGTCCACTTCTGTTCATCCTTTGAGTCTCAGCTGACATGCCCCATCATGCACACATTCATCCCTGATTCCGATAGGCAGAGCTGGTCTTTTTTGTTGGCCTGGGTTCCTAAAAATACATAGTAAAGTGCTATATTGTAGAATAATTTCTATTCTTATGTGTATAATCTTTTCCACTGGAAGGTGAGCTTCTCAGGTTTGAGGTAGGGCTCCCCCTAGGGCATGCAGGACTCTAGGTACATATTTTTTTTTTTTTTTAAGATTTTTATTTATTTATTTGACAGAGAGAGACACAGCGAGAGAGGGAACACAAGCAGGGGGAATGGGAGAGGGAGAAGCAGGCTTCTCTCTGAGCAGGGAGCCTAATGCGGGGCTCAGTCCCAGGACCCTGGGATCATGACCTGAGCCAAAGGCAGCCGCTTAATGACTGAGCCACCCAGGCACCCCTTGTGGAATTTCTGTCAATACAAACAATGGGAATCACCCCAAATCAGCATATCAGCCTCATTTTGGTGTCCCAGGCTACATCATTTCATGAAAGAAGTAGTGTGCTGGCCAGAAGGAGTCATTCAGTTCCCAGCTTGGAACTCAGCCTCAAGCCCCAAAGTATGAGTCCAGAGCTTCGAGGGCATCTGATTGACCCTACCAAGTAGTAGGTGAGAGAACAAAGTAGAATCAAAGGATGGCAAGGAATAAGAGACCGTTTTCTACAAATAGACTTAATTTAGTTTTGTATTACTAATACGTCTATGACTAAAACTTTTTCATAGCTATCATTGAACGTTGTTAGGTGCAGTGCCTAGGAAAAATCCTGTTTCTGATCGAGGAATGCATGCATGTTTTTAGATGTTCTAGTGATAAAGACTATTTCTTATTAGTTAATATATTTCTTGGATTTTGGTTTGTATAATGTTACATAGAGTCTTCTCTCTCTCTCTGTCCTTAAATATTTTTCAACGTAATCTACAACTGAGAAATTAACATTTATTGTTTCGTAGAAACTAAAGCCTGTGGCAGTTCGAGTGACATAAAATATGGTAGTTAGATCACTCAGTAAGAAATGTTAAAAATAATCCAATTAAGAACTTATAAAGAAAAATAATTTATAAAGTAAAACAAGTTTAAAAGATTGGATTATTCAAACATGCATTTCAAAACGTTTGCTACATTATTTCCAAATTTGGTAATACCTTGTATGATGAGAATAAAATGCATAGCATCCAATTTCAATTAGAAAAATCCTCATAAACAAATAGAATTGTGTTTCCAGTTATGTTAGAAACAACAGGATAATGAGTACAAGATGGTATATTTCTGACCACATCTGGGTATGGATGAAAATGATCCCTCAGTTTCATCTAGAAATGGCAGTACACTGCAGTCATTCATTTTAAAGGCAACTAATTAACAAATCTAATATGCATAGATAAAAAGTAATAAGAATAAACATACAAGCATGTCTCTTTCTAAGGAAACAAGTTTAGATTTCGCTTCATAACTTGAAGGATTCAAAGAGACAGTGTACTTCACTTTGGCAAGTAACTTTGTCCAGTAAGCTTTGACTAACTCAGTCATTTCCAACCTGTGCTTCCTGACTCTTGGAATGTATGTAGTAATAGAGGCTAATATGTTGGGTTTTAGCTGAGCTGTCCTTGAAAGCTAGGTTAGGGTGCCCTTTGATGTACCTGGAAAACATTCAAACTTAGCTCTCTTTTAGCATTTAGTGCCCTAGGTTGCATTTGTCTCCTTATCCTGTCTTCCACATTGGAATTGGATTTCTCTTAGAGCAGGATTCATTTTTTTCCCCTCACTTAACAGTACACTACAGATGCCCAGAGAATATTTACTGAAAATAAAGCCAGTTGTTTAACTCTTCTACTTAGTACATAGACCTCCTTTATAGCATCCAGATAATCAGCCAGCTTCTGTTTAATTCCAGTGACACAAAAGCATAGCTTCTTAAGGTACTCCCTTTTTTTTGACCATTGTAATTGTAATAATTTTATTTATTTATTTATTTGACAGAGAGAGACACAGTGACAGAGGGAACACAAGCAGGGGGAGTGGGAGAGGGAGAAGGAGTCCTCCAGCTGAGCAGGGAGCCCGATGTGGGGCTCGATCCCAGGACCCTGGGACCATGACCCGAGCCGAAGGCAGACACATAACGACTGAGCCACAGAGGTGCCCCTGTAATAATTTGTTTTTAAAGATTTTATTTATTTATTCGAGGGAGAGAGAGAGCACGTGAGCAGGGGGAGGGGTAGAGAGAGAGAGAGAGAGAAGCAGACTCCCTGGTGGGTGTGGAGCCTGTCACAGGGCTCGATCTCACGACCCTGAGACCATGACCTGAGTTGAAATCAGGAGTTGGACACTTAACCGACTGAGCCACCCAGGCACCCCTAATTTTTTCTTTTCATTGTTAATTATAAGTAACTTCTTCTTCATTGATCTGGTCTGTTTATAAATTACAAACTCTGGTCTTTTTATACTTCTGGGAACTAGAAAGCAAATATGAATCCTTTAGATAAAAAATGTAACTTCATAAATCTGAAAGAATATTAAAAAGCATTGAATTGATTCTCCTAAGTTTACAGATGAGATCCAGTGAGATTGGGGTTTGTTCTAAGGGACAGTAACAGGACCGTTAATCCCAGAATGTGCATCCCATCGGCCAAGCTGTCTACTTCATCTTCAAATGACTGACGTAAACTATTTTACTACCCACCCCCTCAATCTTTCCAATACATTTTCCATGTTCCACTCTTAAAAGGAGTTCTCTAGTTAAATGTTTGAGGAAAGATCTGTTCAAACTTAGACTGGCCTCTCGGTACTAGTACTTCCCAGGGACTTTAATATACTCATGTGTCCTGTGACTCAAGGAATAGGTATTACACTTCTGAGTAATAGAAGTTAATACCTCAAGGAATACCTGAGTAATAGAAGTTAATACCTCAAGGAATTAATGCTCAGATAATATTCTTTGAAAATTGTGCCTCTACACTAAACATACTCAGTTTTTTCAGGTGTCCTGATGAAGTGATTGGTAGACATTCCATAACTAACCTTGGCATACTTAGAACCACATGGGAAACCTTGTGGGCAAACACAGTATACCTTAATGAAGCCCTAAGAAAATTATCGGAAAGGCCTCTCCAGCCACACACTTCACATCATGGAGCCATCTGGGATTCTACCATTTATTTATTCATTTGGTCAAATAAGGCTTTTTTTTTTAATTACTTGAAACCAGAGAGAAAGACCTCCTCTTTTTTTTTTCTTCTTCAAATGTATTGAGTTATAATTGAAGTACACTAAATTATACATATGTAAATTACATTACTCAATTGGTTTTGATGTGTGTATACACTTGTGAAATCAAGACCAAACTCAAGATGACAAATATATCTATCATTCCAAAAAGTTTTTTGTGCCTTTATAATGCATCCTGCCCTTTATTCCTCTTAGCAACTGATCTGCTTTCTATCACTGGAGAATGGTTTGGATATTCTAGAATACTATATAAAAGGAATCACAGTTAAAAGGAATCACAGAGTTTATGCTTTTGGGATTTTTTGAGGGGGGAGAATGTCTGGCTTTTTTCACTCGGTCAAATAATTTTGTGATTCATGTATGTCATTGCATATAGTTCATTTTTTTTTAAACTGGTGATTAATTTTCCAGGTACAGATACTACAATTGTCTATCCATTCATTTGTTGATGGAAATTTGAGTTGTCTACAGGCCTTAACTGTTAAAAATAAAGTGGCTATGAATATTTTTGAACGAATCTTTATGTAGATATATGTTTGTGTTTCTTTTGGGGAAATACTTGGGAGTGGAAAGGCTGGGTCATTTTATAGGCATGTTGTTCTTTGTAAGTAACATTTTTCTGTACTATTAGTCCTTTAACTTAGTACAATCATCTTGTTCTTCTCTTACCCCTAGGCAGTTAGTACTCACCTGGGGCAATGGGAAAAATGAGGAGAAGGGAGTGCCCTGGGAAAGAAGGGTAGAGAAGAGATGATTTGGATTAAGCACATCAGGAAATGGAAGTCTTGTTAGGCTTCCAAATCTGGTACATTGGGAAGACTGAGGAAGAAAAAGTATCCAAGTATTAATTATACAAAGACTAACTCCTTAATTTCTCATATGACTCTTTACAAGTAGAAACTTATTTCCACTCCACTGAGATTTCTAATGTTATTTTCCACTGTTTCTAAACTGTTGGGATTCTAATGATGCATACCTGTGTTGCTCTTCTCTCGTTCCCAGCTTGTCTGCTTCTGCTAGTGGCTTATAGTTCATGATGGCCCTTCTGTTTCCTAGGTGGTTCTTTGGCAAGGAGAGAAGTTGGGGGACGTCTGTGCTTTTGGAGATACAGTTGTTTCAGTAGCTTTCCATATAGATTTAAGATGGAATCTCTCAGCTGGGGCATTTGGGACTTACTGTTGCTTATATGATTGTAAGAGTAAATAATGGTAACTTATAGACAGGATATTTTATTTGGTAGGAATAAGATAATAAGAAATGAGACTATTGTGATTTTAGTTCTTGTTGATATAGCATATCAGCTATTCATTTTGGATATGCTATATGGGCTAACATTGAATTTTTAGCCATCTATCACGTCAATATTAAGTTTGAAAATCAACATGCTTGCACAGTTTTTTCTTTGTTAAAAAATGATGTTATATCATATCAGAAACCCTGATTACAGCATATTTTCCATACTAAGGAAATATTCCTGCAAGTGTTCTTAAAACATCAGCACTATAATTTTTTTCTTGAAATCTACTATTTTTTTGTTCTACGCTTGAAGTTGTGGTTTTTAGAAAACTTTAGATTTTGTTTATTTTTTCATTAAAATTATTCTATGTAGTGAATCCCAAAAGAAATTATTAGAATTGAAACTGAAGCAGCTACTAGTTCCATAAAAGGGGGGCTGAGAGAGTAAGGGAGTGTTAATACTGTGGGGGAGAAAACCAAAACAATAAAGGGTGCTCCATGTGAACCCAGCCCTGTTGTATATTTTTTTCCTCCTTTAAAACAATTTTATTAATGTATAATTAAGATATAATAAATTGCATCTATTTAATGCATACTCTCATAAGTTTTGACTCTTGCATATATCCATGAAACCATCAACATATATATAACAAACACTATCAATACAATGAACACATCTTAACACTCAGTCTTTAAAATTTCTTCATGCCTTTGGAAGTTTTTCCCTGCTGCCCCTCCCTGCCTCCCCATTAAACATATATTTAATTTCTGTCTCTTGTCTTCATTACTGACATTTGATCTTTGTACATCTGGTAGAGCACGTCCCTATAGAAGTATGTACACATTCACCGTTCTGAGTGGGATACTTGAAAAATACTAAGGCGGACTCTTACATTAAAGGTAGAAAGACTGCTTTGTCCTAAGTACCTTGAAATTGTGGTAATTTTGAAAAGGCTTTTTTTTTGAGAGGGAACATACAAGGAGATAGGCGATTTGAATTGGGCTTCCCACAGAGCAGCATAGTACTTTGGATTTTAAGGTAATAATTTTTTGTACTTTTTTTCTCAGTATGTTTTAAGTTAAAATGTACTTATATACATTTTTTTTATAGTTCCTGGCCTGACAGGGGTCGGCATGGTGTTGGTGCTCTTCCTGATGGTTACAGCTTCTACATACGCAATACGGTGAGTGTCAGAGCCATTATTTCAATGTTTACTGGCCAGAGTGTTTAGATTTTCCTCTGATTATCTTCACTTTCATATGAAGAAAAAGTCTTGATTAACTGGAATGCTTAGCCAATGCAATCAATATTCTGGTCAATGGACTATTTTGGATAACTAAGAGTGAAGTAGAGACATTTCTATGTATCATTTCCTGTTTTTGAAAATTCTCATTGTTTTAGTCAAATATTCTGTGTTGGTAAGGAAACACATGGAGAATTTCTAAAGACTAAGGAAATTTGAGTTCTTCAGGGTCATCCATCTGAAGGATAGTGTATCTCTATGAAACATGAGATTGAATTCAGCATGTAGGCAAAGGAATATATCCCCTTATAACTCATTTCCTGGTGTGAGTTTGTTTTGCAGCAATTTAATGTAGTAGTCTAAATGAAGCTTTGGAAATATGGTTAGTTGACATCTGTTAAAATAATCAGAAATATCTGCATGCATATTTATTCATCTAGTTACAAGACTTGGAGCAACTGCAGGTATACATTTTCATGAGCACTCTCACATGTTATTTCTGATGGATACACATTCTTATTTCATAATATTTTACAGCATCTTATGTTTCTGGTCAAACTTTTTGGTTAAGAAAGCAAAAAGAAGAGATAATACATAATATTCAAGAATCCCAAATCATTCTACTTGTTGAGATGTGAAATTTAATGGAAATGCACACACATGCACACACACATACATGCTTTGAAAATAATTGCCCAGTAATATTTTTTAAGATTTTAGGGCGCCTGGGTGGCTCAGTTGGTTAAGCGACTGCCTTCGGCTCAGGTCATGATCCTGGAGTCCCGGGATCGAGTCCCACATCGGGCTCCCTGCTCAGCAGGGGGTCTGCTTCTCCCTCTGACCCTCCTCCCTCTCCTGCTCTCTGTCTCTCATTCTCTCTCTCTCAAATAAATAAATAAAATCTTTAAAAAAAAAAAAGATTTTATATATTTATTTTAGAGAGACAGAGAGAAAGCACACGTGCAAGCAAGCTGGGTGGGGTTGGGGAGCAGAGGGAGAGGAAGAGAGAGAATCTCAGACTCTGCACTGAGCGCAGAGCCAGACATGGGGCTCAATCCCACGATTCTGAGATCATTACCTGAGCCGAAATCAAGAGTCTGATGCTTAACTGACTGAGCCACCCAGGCTCCCCTACCCAACAGAGTATTAAAATAAGTCTATCCTTGTACTTCTGAACACATACGTTTTCAGTTATGTCTTAAGGAAAAAATCTAGATGTACAATGGCTGGGTCAAACTGTAAGCACATTTTTAAGACTTTTTTTTTTTTTTAAAGATTTTATTTATTTATTCATGAGAGACAGAGAGAGAGAGAGAGAGAAGCAGGCTCCCAAGAAGCAGGGAGCCCGATGCGGGACTCGATCCCAGGATCCTGGGATCATGACCTGAGCCGAAGGCAGACGCTTAACCATCTGAGCCACCCAGGCGCCCAAGACTTTTCATAAGAATTAAAAATCACCTTTCTCTAACATCAGTGCATGAAAGTGCCAATTTTGTGGGGAGAAATTTTCTTTTTCTTTTTTTTTTTTTTAAAGATTTTATTTATTTATTTGAGAGAGAGAACACATGAGAGGGGATAGGGTCAGAGGACGAAGCAGACTCCCTGCCGAGC